TGTCGACATCTATTATGTGCACCATACTCTTAGTTTTCTTTACAATAATGTACAAATTATGTATTATTCTGAAAGGAAAAGTTATTTCATTTTGTGTAAGAAATAGAAAGATTAAATTAAATTGAGCTTTCTCCACAGACTTCACAGTTCGTATCGACGTTTTTGGCTTGTACGATAGCGAAAGTATCACCGAATTCACATAGACAGAATCTGAATTTAAATTCAATTTGACACAACTTTAAGAAGAGTAATTGCGTAGAAAATTGCCGAGAAAATACTTATGAGCAACCGGAATCTCAAAAATTCTACTCATTTGTCATGTTGAAGAATTTGATGACAAGTCATACTGTTCACCTGTAACTACGTTTATAAGGTTACACTGAGCTGACATTGCGCTAAATAAGCAAATGTTCTTTTCGTCATTAAAGTGGAATGTTGATTTCTCCGTCTCTGAAATTCAATGACATGGTGTACAGATTGCTGATGCTACAGTTCTGCCTCGGGTTGCGTTTTTCATCATGACATGAATGAATCATTATTTTATCTTACCCTTCACTGGACGTGGACCAGATACTCTTGGCTCGTCACTGGAGAGGTAATGTTGCAATAGACTGCACAAATTGAGTCAACAATTGATAATTGGATGAATTAATATTTTAATGGTTATTATATATGCGAAATAGTCTGGTTTACTCTAAACAGTGAAATATAGAGCCGGATGTCGGAGAGTTGTAGATTAAATCTAATAGACATGTTAGTTGACCATGTGTTAAGGACAGTGCATGTATAGTAGGATTTGCAAAAAGTACTTCTCCATGTCATTTGGACATTGGTAAATGCAGCTAGATTTGCTTTCTAAGGTAGGATAGCTCTCTTACAAGACAGAGTGGGACACGCCCTTCTGTTATGTAACCTGCATATGTTCCACGTACAATTTTTATCCTTTTATGTGAAATTGGATTGCGAAAATTTTGTCCAGAATGCGTGTAAATTAAACCTGTCCGACATGGTGTTGATTTATATATTGTTTGATTTTTCAGTGTTATAAATAAAACATGTGTGCTCTTGTCTGCCCAACCGCATGTGTGTAACCTGATACACTGATTGACTAGATTATGAATTGTGATAAAACTCCACTCAAGGTCTTGCATACGAAATGGAGTACAATTACTCTCGTTTGTTCTTTACAACTCCACCAAAAAATTAGACATGTAGCAATGATTTTATTTGATGAATTAGGTTTCTCTGAAGCGGAATCTGGGCGCGGGTTCAATTAATAGGCTTGTTGAAAGGCTCCACCCTACGATCATTAACAACATAAACGCAGTGTTACATATTTTGAATATGCAAGGAAGTGGAAGCGCACGAAAGCACTCGTTTGAAAAAAGAATGCATAACAATCTTAGTGATAATCCTGCCGTCACCGCCACTATTAATTCGTTGTAAAGTAATTAATGTCAATGATTAAACAAAGGAAATAAAACACGTTCCATTTGTACTCACCCCTAAATTTTCAAATTGTGGACAGACTATCACTCGTCAAATATAGATTTTCGACATAGTGTAAAGACGATAGAATTAGGGGGAAAATGAGAATTTGAAGAAAAATTTCATTTTTAAATTCCAATACTAAGAACGTACCGAAAATGAAATAATTTCAATGCATTTAATTTGGAAGTATGAAAGTTATCGGGCCATACCAGACCGACCTGACGAGAGATCCTATGTTTCGAGTCCCAAATACTTTTTTATCACGAGCTAGATAGCTAAATCACAGCTTGCAGAAGTATTGAGACATGCTGCCTCTACAGCCGTCTATAATTGCAAAAGTATTGCCGATGCAGGATTTCGTGCACAAACAGACATCTCGCTCATGTCCCATAAAGACTATTCCATGCATTTCTCATCTCATTTCTCATCCCATATACATGTTCATATGTATCTCATGTATAATTTTTCGAAAATATATCTAGTTTTCACAAAATTTTGAACTAATTGCATATCTTGTAGTCAACTTTTGAACAATTATTTTTTCAAAAATGGCTTCAATTTTTCAATAGTTTCAGAAGTATGTAGATTGAGAGTTATACATATGCCACACGCCCCTGTAATTCCTTACGGGCAGGTCACGTTCTACAGTCAAGGAGATTTCATGTGCCAACCCAAATTCTGTGCATTCGCATTAGTAGTAAATCCTTTCTTCCTGTAGTTTCATGAGGAGTGCTCGAGTTTATATTTTGTCAACGATTGATGTTAAACCAATCTTGATCCCGTCTGAAATAGCAGGGTACTAACTGTTGCCACTCCAGTGTATGTGACTGGGAAGACCTGGAGATCGAGTCTTGACGGTGGTGTAGTTTCGATCCCAGCTATATTCATGTCGCATTCATCCGCTGCCTGGAGGAGAATTCTAGCGACCGGCTGATCTGTTCATTAGTTTTCCGTTGTGTATTAGATCAACAGCAGGCACATGCCGGTTTAGCACCTCAACAAAGGGTTCAAGAACCAGGTGCAACCTTCCCTTCCTCATTCTTGTGCTTTCATTCCGCTTACACACACATATCGAAACTACCTTCCGAGATATAACGTGCACTATTGCTTGTGGGACTAACAATCATATCAGTTGGCGCTCCCGGAAACACGAAATAATCAGTTTTGTCCGACACTGTTGAATAAAATTTTGACGTATCCTATTAAATATTGATATAACTAAAACTGAGTGCTAAAAATTAACGTTTTATTCACGATATACATTGAAATGTAATTCGCGGCCATCTAAGAAATGTCAGAACTGATAATACATTTCAAAATGAAACACAGCGCGTCAGTGAAAACTGATTATGAATATTGGGCAGTTTTAATATCATATACGGAACATTTGCCGCATAAGCAAGTAATTGTAACCTTATTTGTACCTCTTTATCATTGTCAAAGAATCAGATAATAAGGATAGGGCTGACCAGTTTCTCTTATGGAACCGGTTTCTTTGAAGGAAAAACGTTTCACAGTTCTTGAAGTAATACTCAACAGTTGTGCTCTGGAGCAGCCAAGAACGGGACTGAACGAGAACACCGAGAATCGTCAATGAATACTAGATCTGATTAACTCTTCTATCTGCTTTTTAATGACCTGGTTAAGGTGTATAATCGGTGAGACTTTGGAAAACCAACGTGCAATTTTTTCCGTGATTTTTATTAGCTTGTCTCGATCATGGATGCCATTTCCCTTGTTAGTGAGAGAAAAGAACATGACAACTTGCAGAGAGCGATACTTTTGACTAAGATGCAAACTTTGCAATTAAATAGCGTTCAGTCTCTATGGCTCTTTACTCATAAATTAATATTTTAAGTATACTCATAAGTAAATTATTAAAATAAAGTAATATTCTACTTGACCGGGAATGAAACCCGGAACTTCTGATTTTCTCTTTTTTCTGATCCCTGAACCGCGGAGTCGATCTATTTTTCTCTATATTTCCGTTGTTTCTCCGATCAATACCATGGCGAATGGCGGAATAGTTATTTCCGCTCACCGATCGCGCGCGAGTTTTCCTTCTTCTTCCTTGCCCCTCTCCCACCACACACAAACACACTTACATGCAGTACACTGCCACTCTTGTCGGAAGCTTAGAGCTTGTCCTGGTCGATACCTGCAGGAAAACCTCGCAAGTCAACATGTACTTCGGTACCGTATTTCATGTTCTTGTGCGGAAGGAACACTGCCATCTCCCGGTATATAGCATGCATTACACCTACGGGACTATTACCTATAGCATTTGATACGTACGGAAAAAAATAGTCGATCAATCAATATGAAAATTGTAATGTATATACTTTTAATTGTGTAAATCATTATAGTTTTCGTTGCATTTTTCTTTTATCCCACTGAACCAACTTGACAGTCGTGTCGTGACTGTTACGATCGAGTGATGTTTAACTATTTCCGGTGCTTATTGATCTTTGCTCCAGTGAAACACGTTTAGCATAAATTCATTTAAACCAGCCAAATATTTATTTTTTAGCTCAGTAAGTTTCTAGAGCTTTTTCTGCAAGGGGATTCGAAAACAATCAACGAAACAAGTTTGGGAAGTGTGTGATGTATTTTTTTGCTTTAGTCCCTTGACTCTGAGATCAATCGCCATCCTCGAAAGGTATTGGTTGAAGAGACTTCAACTTTTACCGGAACGGTAACTTCTTCAAAATACATCTGTTAGCGATAGACAACGCATTAATTGACTCACTTGTTTAATATGGAAATGTACATTATATAGCTTTCACCATAACTTACGCGACAACAGATACAAATGAGTGCTAATTTGCACACATTTGCACACATGCACGAGATATATTCATGAAATATAGAGGAATATAATTATGCAGATCGATTTATCTTGATCGTTTTAATAATTCTTTAAAATTCGACGTTGATTTGAAATCGTATAAAGATTTTTGTTCAAGGAAAAATGAGTTGTGTTTGGGAAGGAAGAGGGCATTTGTTTTGTGGAGAAGGCCTACTAGTGGAGTGTCCGGCACTTTATTTCAATGTTTTTAACTCTAACACGTCTTGGACAAATTAATTTCATTATTTCAAGATACCTGTTAGGGTATCATACCATCTCTTAAGTGATCTCTGTCTTGTTCGCTCTTTTTCCACACTTATTTAAAATTATAGAATTCAATAAATGGAAGAGACCGTTTATATGGCTGGAAAACTTATACAATCCCTTGTTATGTTGTATTTGAAGAGAACAATTTCCAGGAATGTTATATTTTTATTAGTCCAAGTTGGAGTTACCGAAGAGTAACGATAAAAGTGAATGAAAAATTGCGAGGAATTTTCATCCTTTAAGATTCGAACTACTGAAGTTCACTTTATTAATTATTATTATTATTATTATTATTATTATTATTATTATTATTATTATTATTATTATTATTAATAATAATAATAATAATAATTGTAAAACAATAACAAATAAAACTTTATTTCTCTTGTTGTACCTCACCATCACGTGAATTAGTCTTCTTCACTATGTCATCTTCCCTGGGGAGCAAGCATTCCGGGTGGATACGTATTGTGTCGGCCGAAGAGGCGAAAGCGCGTATGCAAATGGCCCAGAGTGAAGGATGAATGCCACATTCGGCGGCGTCTGAACAAACTCGCGCGGCGGCCGCGGCGCTGTTTACGTAACGCGGTGGCCGCTCCGCCCACGCGCCGCCGCCGCTGCCATTCATCTGCGCCGCGCAGCGTGTCGCGCCGCGCGCAGCCACTCCCGCCTTGGCCAAGGAGCCTTCACGGTTCAAACGGTCCAACGGGTTCGCTTTATTGGATTAATACCAATCTATTAGTACTCTCAACTCGGTGGATGAGCATGATTTCCATAAGGCGACGAATGATTGTTTACTAGTCTTTCCGGGGGCATCAACGGATAAGGTCCGTAAGTGTAGTGCATGTTTTGCTCTGGAGTTGGCGGTCATCTTGCCCCGCTGGATGGCGCGATTCGGCGCCGACCCACCGCCGCCGAGCGGAATTTTCCGGCTAGCGGCTAGCGGGTATCGCCCCCAACGGGGCACCACACCAGTCGGGATATGATCTAACCTCCAGGGCGGTCTCCCAGCAGGTGTAGTAGTATAGTGCATGTAAGTGTCAGTGTATGGAAGGGGTAGGATAGGATAAGGAATGGGAAAGAAAGATTGCGCGCGCACCGCCTATTTGGTGGTGGCGCGCGGACCTGAATTCGCCTGGTATTGATCGGAGAAACCACGGCCGAAAACTACCGGTCAGACCAGCCAGCCGCCAGAATTCTCCACCAGACAGCGACAGAACTCGACCTAGCTATGTGGTATCGAAAATCCTGCCACTGTCTTGACTCGAACCGCAGGTCCTCCCGGTCAGAGACTCTGCAGTGACATCAGTTGATGCCCTTAGCCACCTCTCCCGGTATAAGATGAAGGGAGGAAGGTTTGACAAATACGTAATACTTAAATCCGTAATAATACGTAAAGAATCGTATAAATTCACTCGGATATTTCACTGGCTGCGATATCTTAGAGACAATACCTACCACGGCCTGAGTAGCATCGTTGACAGGCGGTTCCTAGTGTTTGAGCAATGACGGTGGAGGACGTCCGACACTCAATACATCGCTCGATCGAATTCAGTCTTCTTGAGGAGAATTCTAGAGACCAGTGCTCTGATTAGTAGTTCCCCGTGGTTTTTTAATCAATGCAATGAATTTCGCAACAGTACCCAACAAACGGGCCACAGATCGCACTTAAACTTTCCTTCCTCATCCTTGACCCGTCGCCCCTTTACACGTACATTTACATTGACCTCATTACTACATCTATCAGGAGACCAGACGGGAGATAAGAGCTTGTGTCCAGCTGGGGGAGATATCTAGAGGAAGAATACCTCACAACCCGAAATGTAGTCGGCGCCAGAGGTCAAGCTCCATCGAGGGATATAATCCACCTCCCGAGATATAGTATGCACTAAACTTACGGGAATAACATGGGCCTATCAACTTAACAGTTGGCTCTGGCAGAATAATGATCATCGCTTGAATATTTCTTCCATTTATTATTATTTAAAATGACTAAATTGGACGTCTTTCCATTTAACGCCAATTTGCCGAATCACAAATCATAAGGTGTGATAGCGATACTTCATTGAATAAGCTCTTGGTATTTTCGTATATACATGTTACATTTTATAACAATCCTACGTACCGTTTTACCGTTCCAATACCGATTATTGCTTAGATTGTGCATTAAATTATACCCTGTCAGTGTAATATTACTACAATGTAACTATGATTAAAATAAATTATGATTATAGTAATTAACACATTCTAACGGATAATTTCAATTCATTAATTTTTGTGGTCAAAGCTATGTCTTATACTTTCAGACGATTTTTTTATTATCGACATACCCCGATCGATGTGAACGATCTCGACGTTTTGAGAGTCTAAAATTGATAGTTCTATTTTTGGGGGTACTTTAAATGAAGCATCAACACCAGTTTCAAAATTCTCTCAAACATGACCCCATTCTTTTATTTAACTTTTTCCTCGGATAGTGCAAAGGAGTCTTAAAAAGTGGTTGAGGTCTCCACATCGTTGAACCGTGTAAAATTCTCGGCGAATATTGCAAATGTTTAAACTGTTTAAGATTTTATTTTTTCCTGACAAAACAGTTTTTCAGTTAACGTTTCAATAACAATCAAATCATTCAATCGTTTTTCATTTAAATAAGTCATGTACAATATTTTGAAAAAACGAGAAGACTTTGAGTAATTTCTGCTCGAAGTAAAGCCAGTTCATAGAAAAGTTTTGCAGCTCTATGTAGTATTATAAGATAATATAAATAACTGTTTGTAACACTTACTAGTTGTTACCTACTTATGTTCTACATATTTATACTGAATTGGTGAAGGATTCGGGGTGAGCTTAGATTTAACTGGTCACCTCTAAATTACCAGAATGATCCACTTACAAGAATTCAGAGATCAGACCAATGTATATCTGATTCATGTGCTACTGTAGCTGAACCACATATTCAAGTACTTCCACAGTGTACGTGTTAAATTTTTTACTGACAGTTATACCCACCTCCAAAACCATCAGGTGCCGTCGGCGACATCCTTACTGTCATTACGTGAAATGTCACCACGTGTCCGGTTTCGGTTACAGTATTAATGCTGTTCGGTATCGGTTCGGTTTTGCTTCTATTCGAGGAGAGTTGCGCACCACGCGGGAGCGCCAATCGCGAGCTTCAGTTGACCGTACGAATGCCGCAATCGCTCAGGCCACGCAAAAATTCGCCCCATGACGATTGGTCGGTCAGACGGAGGTATGTCACAGGGCTTGGAAGCAGACGCTTATCGTGTGCCACGCGATACACATCACGCACTCCACTGAGGTAGCTCAGGGCATCGATTGATTCCACTGCACTGTCCCTGGCCGAGAGGCCCTAGGGTTCGAGCATCGACTGTGGTAGGGTAGCTAGATAGCTAGGTCGGATTCAGACGCTGTCTGGAGGAGCATTGTAGCGGCCGGTTGTTCTGATCGTTTTTTTTCAGTACTTTCTCCGATCAATACCCGGCAAATGTCGAAATAGTACCCTAACAGGCCGTGCGCGATCTTTCCTTCCTGCTATTTGCACGCTTACCTGCACTACACTACTACATGCCGGGAGACCAGTCGGGGGCTTAGAGTTTCTCCCGGCTGGGGAGGTGCCCCGCTGGTGGGAGATACCTGGATAGGAAAACTCCGAGAGACGACGTGTAAGTCGACACCAATTCTCACCATCTAGAGGGAAAATCCATCGCCAAGACATCGCCACCCTCGTCATAAAACATACACTACACTTACATAACTAATGACACTAGCACTTGACGCGTCAGGAAACACAAAATAATAAATCAATTAATCACGCCCTCCAGATTTTCTACTATGCCGTACATCTATATTTTTATTGTTCCTAAGTCTTAAAACAAAATTGAGTGGTTTAGGTACTGCTCCAGAATTCGACTGGTGTTGATCGGAGAAGCCTCGGAAAACTATCGATCAGAGCAGCCGACCGCTAGGATTCTCCTGCAGGCAGCAACTGAACTCAACCTAGCTGACAAGGTAGAGTCGAAAATCGTGCCACCGTCGGGAGTAGACCCTAGGACCTCATTTGATGCCCTAAGCCACCTCTCTCGGTGTATCCCGAAGAAGAATCCGTCTTTGGCGTCCTCCTGCCGGCCCTTGCCGCGGGGAGACGGCGAGAGGGCCCGCGTGGGTGGCGGCGGCCGCGACCGGCTTTGTAGGCCTTGTAGTACACAGCGCTGGCGTGCAGCGGAGCGGCGGCAGCTGGGAGGCGGCGGAAGCGGCGGGCGCGGGGGCGGCTCGGCAGGTGGCCAGTGCCCACGGACCGGGCCGTGGGCTCGCGCGCTGGACAAGGTCGCCCCCGTCGCCACGCCCCCGGCCCCGCCCGGCCTCCGCGGCCGCCCAGCTGCTGAGGAGCGTCCGGTGGCTAGGAAGCTGCGGCATTCGCACTCCGCCGGCCCGTAGTATTGGAACGAACTATTGAAATAACACAAATTCCTAGCAGAAATGTTTTCTTACATTAATAGAAATATGTTATTTGCACCCATAATAAATCGGTATAAAAACGTTGCAGAAATGGGAAGTACACTGGTGGGAAAATGCCCTGATGAAAAGTTAAATAGCCCCTTATTATTCCTCAATTATTCTGTAAAATATTTGAGGAGGTTACAACCACTAACCTCAAAACAAAAATCATACATACTACGCATACATTGATTACTAGAGACAAACCCGTGTCTCTAAAAACGAGATTTGTATGTAGTATTCCTGTTATGATATTTTTTCACCGCTTTCCTTACACTGTTTCCATCTATATTTGCTCCACAGTCCATTTTCCGCGGATGAGGAGGGTTCCCGGTCGATTGCTACCCCACGAGGCTCGCCAGGATCGAATGACGAATGAGAATGGAATTTGCCTGGGATCAGGAATGAATCATAACAAGGGAGCGGGGAACGTCACCAGTCCCGTCGCCTCTGGAACCGAACCAGGGACTCTCGTGTGCATTTGGCCTTGCCGATCTCCGACCGCACGCACCGTTGCGCCCACGACATAACAGTGCTCTCCATTGTCAGTGCCGCCGCCGCCGCTGATGAGTTGACGCCCCACTCATCTAGAGCTCTGATGTAATAACCTCGGGGCGTCCATTATGTTAATTTGCAACCATTAGCGCCAAGTTAACTCTCGGGATTGCAAACGATAATGATAGATATATGATGATGACTATAATCACGTTTTCTTCACATCTACACACGTTCGTCGCAGACTTCTCTTTTACTTCCATCCTCTTTTCCCTTTGTTCCTCCTGTCCATTTCTACTCCTACTTTTCCTTTCACTTCTCCTTCTTCGTCTCCACTTCTACCACCACTCTGTTTCTCCTTTTATTTCTCCTCTTCCTTCTTCTGTTCCTTCACCACCTACTACTTCACCACCTCTTCTTTTTCTGCTCTTGTGTGCTTCATCCTTCTCTTCCGTGGCCTTCTGATTATTTTCCTCCGGTTGATTCATCGTCGAAGCCAACCAGTTTTCCTATAGATAAGTTTTCAATGCCAACACGTTTTCATCATCTCAACCGACTTCATAGAGTCGGGGAATTAATTTGTCGCCGTACTCTTCTACACATTACCACTCCTCCATTTTTGTTCTAACGCTCATCATTGCTCCAAACAGAACTGCGACGGCTATTTGTGCTTCCTCTCTTTTCTGCGTAGTGTCCGGATCAGTTTTGTGTTTTCAGATTCTTAACTTCATTCTCAGGAGGCACTTTGGATTCTTTTTATCAATCCACGTAAATTGTCGCTTTCGCGAAGAGTATACACTCTTATCTGCATGGCGAATCCGTTCGGCTCGTCCTAATTGAGAGATTTTATAACCAATCCAAAAGCACCACTTCCTTAATATTTTGCCCGTACTCGGAAGAGGGAGAGTTATTCCACTGGAAAATTAAATACATTGTATCTAGTAGACGTGTCTTCCACTTAGTAAATAAAACGTGAGCGTCAAAAGTATGAGTCTAACTAGATTAGCCTGTTATGCATTTGAAGGTAACTTTCCGGTCTTGAAATATATACGCTAACTAATAAATATAATGTTATCATGCAATTTAATAAAAATATGAGTGTTAATCACAGTAGTGATTGAAAACCTTGGAATCTGGAAATTTTAAAAAACAATTGAACTAATTTTAATTTTTTGAAAAATACTCAAATGAGGCACTATCCGCCGGAACCTCATTGTATCTGTGCTTCTTAAGCGAGAAATAATATTGTACAGAACTCAATATTCTTGTGAATACGGAGCACATAGTATTGGGCTGTCAACAGTTCTTTCCCTTTCTCCCTCACTTTTCTCTTCTTTTTTTTCATTTCTTTTTTTTTCTTTTTTCTTCTTACCTTCGTCCTTTTCTCCTCTTCTTATCCGTTCTTTTTCTTCTATTTCCACTTCTAATTCTTCTTTTATATCTTCTTCTGTTTCTTGTTTTTCTCCTCCTCCTTCCCTCTGTCCTCTTCTTTCCTCTTCAGGGTCCCAATTAATATTAATGTCACACGACATTCATGTACCATGGCATGACAGGGGACTCCAACATGGAGCGAGCAACAGATTCAACATGGAGCGAGCAACGTCAAGCGATTTAATTTTTCCCCTTGGGCTTTTACCCAACCAACAGCCGGTTACTCGGTACGTCCCGATGGGATGCATATTCGCCCGTACACTAGACATCAACCCACTTGCGGGCTTCTCTGATCTGGGATCAGCAGAACGTGAGATCCTTCACGGCAACACATACATAAGACACAAGGGGCAAACAACCATGCCCAAGCTGGGACTCGAACACGTGACCTTTCGGACCGAAGCAGCAATTCATATTGCGCCGCTAAATTTACTACAACGATTTCGTCCGTCCTGGGCCATTGTGCGCCGCCACCACTGCCACTGCATGCGGGCGAGTGGCGCGGCGCCGTATCGTGTGGTGTGGTGCGGTGCGGTGCGGTGCGGTCTGATCTGGTGTGGTGCGGTGCGATCTGATCTGGTGTGGTGCGATCTGGTGCGGTGTGGTGTGGTGTGGTGTGGTGTGGTGCGATGCGATCTGATCTGGTGTGGTGTGGTGCACTCTGATCTGGTGTGGTGCGATGCGATCTGATCTGGTGTGGTGTGGTGTGGTGTGGTGCGATGCGACCTGATCTGGTGTGGTGTGGTGCGGTCTGGTGTGGTGTGGTGCGGTCTGATGTGGTGTGGTGTGGTGTGGTGTGGCGTGGGCTGCGGAGCGCGTGGACGTTGGAACCGCTGCTCTAACGGCGCGGGAGCGGTGCTGGGAGGCGCTGGGAGGCGGCGAGCGCTGCGAAGCACCTGCGCCGCCCGTTCTCGCCTTGGACCACTTCCCACTTTCCCCGGCGCCGCCCGCGGCCCACTGCCCCAGTGCGCCAGGCGACCGTCTCGGGCGCGGCCGCCTTCACTTTCGCTGCTCTCCACTTGCACTTGCACTCACCGGCTCCTCCTCTCTCGGGTGACGCTGCTTGGGTCGGTCTCTCCCTCTGTTTCCCTATGGCCCTCTGCAATACCCTCTCTCTCCCTCTGACTCTCTTGCTCTTACTCTGTTCCTCTCACTCTCTTTTTTGTTATTTAAGATCGCATCACAATCCGTTAGCGACCACTTGGATTTCACGTTATGGTAACTATGAAGATGACATGAGATGGTCATGATAGAGGACGAACACAAGCACAACCATGCCCGAGGCAGGAATCGAACCCGCGATCCTTCAGCCCGATATCGCTATGATACTACTGCCTTAACGATCTCGGACATCCGGACGGCTCTCGCTCTTTATTCTCCTGGGTATTTTCGTTTGTGTCTTGGTTACCATATCTAGTTCTCTCATTCAACCTATTTTTGTTTATATAATCATCCATCCCTTCTCTCTGCTTCTTATTGATTCTGTCGAGCGTGCGTGTCTCTCTGCACCTTTCCCTCTCCTTCCGATTATGAAAATTCCTTTTCTGCCTGAATAAAAATAAAGTATATTGTCAGTCATTAGGCCAAGGTTAAATATAT